GCCCCTCGCGGCTCGAAGCCAACGCCAACGGGCCGGGGCAGCCTTCGCCGAAGAGACCCCATCCCCCCTCTAAGCAAGCGCAACTTTTATGTGCATATCTGGCAAGTTTCTTCATTAAACATTCATTAATTTTCTACTGGCGCCACTGATGTTTTGACAAGCATGTGTTACTTCATTACAACCCTAATTTAAGGCTCACCAGACCAAATGCTTTCAGAGGGAAGCAAATACAGTTATGAAAGTCTAAGTTTGTATTACTGACATCCTTCAGTGCCATGTGACAGGCTCAACTAACACCCTTACCCGCCTGCTGCATCTTTAGCAAGACATGCCTGTCACATTACACAATACACTGGGCTGTAGGATAGTTTCCCTATTTCCACATGGTGCAACTGAATATGCTAGGGGTATGTTCTATCTTAGACGTGAGCTTTCTTTTCTCATTTATTGCAGAGGTTGGGGCATCTTTTCTGCTTTTTATTTTCCCCTAATGTTTTTTTTTTTTAGTTTAGTTTATTTGTTCATGGAGCTTTTTTTTTAGTTAATGCTTAACAGACTTAACGTAGTATTTTCCCCTCTTTTACCTCTCTTCTGGTCTGTTTTGATCAGTAATAGGTACAAACCATAGTATGGTAAGCAATTATTAATTCATTAGCCCTGGATTGCAGTTCATACATTGCCTTAAACAAAAGTTCTGACACATCCCACCACATCTGCAAGGCAATCTGTAAAACCCATTCCCCCCAAAAAAGTCAAACTAATACCCAGTAGATCTAATACATAAGATAGCTACTGCACTTAGTTTCACCCTTCCTTTATTTTCCCCATCATCAGCTGACTTTATGTAGCTTTAGGATAGCAAACAAAAGCAGCTCTTTAAAATGTATCCTTTTTTTTTTGCGCTAAAGGTCTACTTTACATTTCCGAAGTCATGAAGCCAGTTCAGTAAAACGGGAGACAGAACACAGAGGCAAAATTAGAAATCACAGGTCACGCCCACACTCACCCCCTCCTGGATTTTCTACCCAGACTAAAATTTCTTTCCCCTGCTAGATGAAACAGAAAGCAGAACTCTTCACATTGTACACTTACATGTGCCCCTCTAATTACACAGGACTTACATCACAATTAAGAATTTTGTATTCTGAACAGAACTGTCCAGGTGGTATCTGCATCAACTCTACGAGGCCCAGTTTCTGAGATCAGAGGATGAGACACAGGATCAGAGACATGAACTGCATGGAAATAGGTATACCTCATGCAAATTAAAGTGTAAGTTCAGTAGCTACTGCATCTCCAACATTGTGCTAGGCCCATCACTTAACTATACTCATTCATTTTGTGCCCCTCTGAGTAGACAGTTCTCTACTAGCTTCGGTATAAGCCTAACCTCAATGCTGACTTCCAACACAGAATATAACTTGAAGGTTGTCGTGGTTCTGCTTTAGTTTACAATTTGTCCATCTGTATCACGTCACTCTCTTCAGTTAAAAGAAAACCAAGAGTGAGATCAGCAGTTCAACTGGACCATTGACCATGATGTGAAATTTACAGAAAGTTGGCAGGCACAACTATCTAAAAGTTAACCATAACTATCATCTTTTCTTAGATGCAGAAAGCAAGCAAGTTGGGCAGTATACTTAACTCATCGGTTGCTGCTGCAGCTGCACGCCCATAAACTGCATTTTTTTCTTTAATATGATGAGGTAACAAAGTAGACAATGCAAACTTCACACACACAGGCGCGCGCACACACACACCGCGACTGCAGTTCTCATGAAGCCCTTTATTAAGTCAAGGCATTAAAGGAAAAACTACTATTATTCACCATGCTTCTCATCTTGAGGCAGTTCATACTGAGCCAGCTGCGGATGTAAAGAAAGGAATTTAGTTAGCTGCAACACTTCATAAACACTTTCTACATTAAGAAATGTAGGAAAATGTTCAGTCTGGACTTGTTTCATTTACTTTGTGAATTTTAACTCACTCATATTTATACAATTCCATTTCCAAGTCAGGCAACAAAGTACACGTATAACTATGCAGCCAAAACAAGGGGGTTTTAAATGCACTTTGAAGCACATAGGTCTTGCCCTTAATTTTTCCCTATTTCTTGTTCTAGGACTCATTAAGTACTTTTCATGTCAAATAGCAGTGGATAATGAGCAGTGCCCCATAAGCTTTGATTTCACTAAAATACAATTAAATGAAACATCTGCTTTGCAACCATACCCAAACTAACATTTCCTGTGATCATTCTAGCTTCCATTATGCCTTCTGCAGAGCAAGGCCTAGGCAAGCATGCACTTAAATATGACCTTTACTCGTAAAGTTACTTCCAAATAAAGATATTAAGGTGTTCACTTGACTCCAGTAACATTAAAAGAAAAGCTCAAGAGGCAAAATCAGGTCAAGAATTAGGACCATCTCTCTGAAATATGCCAGTCCAGTTGACCCAAGATTCCTCCCCTCTGCAAATTAATAAACTGAAATACCCACGGGTTCCTTCCTCACAGCAGCACTAAATTATAGCAATCACTATGTTGCTAACAAGAACCACTAAAATAACATTTTTTCGTTCTTGCAGATTTTACCACAACAGATGGCTCATACACAATCCAAAGTTAGTTTGACTTCCTGCCCATGCACCCCCCCAACAAATACATTTATTGCTCAGAACGTTAGGTAAGGAAAAAACCCAGATTTTCAGATAAATGCAACAGCAGTTACCAATAAATGATAAATGCACAGATAAAGGCATGTATTTTATGCTAGGGAGTTGCTACAAAATAGGTAAATGGTAGTGTTCTCCCTGCATTCTATCTGTATGAACTTCCACAGTATGTCAAAATGATGAGCCTTATGTGGCAGAGGAAAACAAGGGAAAAATCAAAACTACTAATATTGGAAAATGTGTAAAGTTATCATCTGAAGGACGAAGAAGGGGAAAGCACAAATGAACCCACAATTATGGAAAGGCTTACTTTCCTGGAACAAGTTTTCACATTTTTAAACAAAGGCCCAGATTACTCTGTTCTCATGTGCCAGTTTACTACAGGCTGCATTTTTACGTCAGCCACACCAAGTGAACTGCAGGTCTATTGCTATCTCCCTAAAATTCTGCTCTTTGCCATATTTACTAGTAAGAAATAACAGATGCAGCTGTAAGGACTCACAGTAGGTAACAGAGAAGAAGAAGAATTACTAGGACAGCAAGAGGGCACTTCTGACAAGAAATACAAAGGGGTAACGCTCAAGAATCCATTCTCCCAGAACTAAAGTGGAGTGGCTGTCTCCCAGTAAAAAAATCAGGGATTTTCACATATAACAGCAACCATCCTCTTCCCACAAATGCATGTAACCCTGTAGCAGCACATAAACTACTAGCATATTAAGCATCTCAAAGGTTTCCTTCTTCAGTGCCTTAGTTTACAGCCAGTGCCCTCCCACGAGGGCATTTCAGAGCTCTTTCAGACAATCTGCATACCCATTAAAGAACAGCCCTTCCTTAACTAACACTTCAGCTTCACTGCTGTTGCAAATAGAGAAATACCAGACTCATTTTAGGTAAAACATGCAAATTATTGTTTCATGTGGGTGTTAAGTGCTCTCATCATGTGCAAGCCTGTGCAAGGTGACATGAAGTAATACATAATATTATCTCTTCAGTTTGCCTTTTGAAAGCCTTTATAATAGATACATTACCTTATTTGTTTTTCAAAGCTCTCATGGAAGCATGATATCAGACAAGTTAAACACATCCAGACAGGACTGAATGAAGACATAATCTTGATAACTTATACTTTCCCTAAATAAATAAAATCCCTAGTTTAGCAGTATTATGTGTTATATTCTAAAAGAAGCATCCCATTAAAAAAATCTTTACTACAATGAATTCTGTCAGAATTTCTCAGCCACAAGGCTAAACAATGCAACATTCATCACTTACTCTAATGGGAGAAAGTTAGCTGCATTCCAAGTATTAAAGTATTTTTCTTGTTGTATAATATGGAGCTACAAAGTAACACCAACTAGACTTTACCTTGGTTTTCAGTTTTTTATTTTCTTCCAGCACAGCTTCGTATTTTTCTTTCATCTCTGCCACTTTCAAGCGAAGTGCTTCTATTTCTGGATTATCAGGAGCTGAAGCTCCCAGATGATGCTTTAGAAAGCTGATATTTAGATGTTAAGTACTTCTTCAGTTATGTAGTATAACCACATTTTAGTTTTAGCAGTTACGATGAAGTTAGCACTGCAGTACATGTGACATAAATTGCAGTAAACCATTGAGATTACTACAGTGCTTTTCATTGTACAGAATGAAGTTACGAAAATGAGTGCCTTTCAAACGCATAGCTATATTCTTTAAAAAAAACCCAAACCAGACATCAGTACAAATTCTTAAGTTTTACTACCCCCTCCTTTTCTTCTTTTCCTTTCTTAAATGCAGACGTTTTGAAGAATTAGAAGAAATAACAAAAAAAAAGAATAGCCAGAAGCGGAGGCTGCTTAAAAAACAGCAAGAAACAATACATTCATTCCCCCCACTCCCTTATATATTATTTAAGAAAAACACCACCAAACAAGCAAACAAAAAAAAGGAAGTGTGAAGAAGCAAACTTCAGAAGCCACAGACACTCCAGGTACCCACCCAAATCTAAAGCCGCTGGTCTACGACACTCTGTAATGGCCTATAACTTAGCTTCATAATTGCTGGGCATGCCAATACTCCCAGTTCTCTTGCATCCTGTCAAACTTTGTTAGCTTGTAAGAATGCAATTATTAGCTAAAAAGCCATTTTCTCAGTGCAAGTCTTCTAAATGAGCCTCGCCAGTTCACCTATGAATCAGAAGCAGCACTGCTGTTTCATACGAAGTCTCTGTGAGTAACTCACAGCAGAAAAAAAGGATACTCCAGTGCACTATTTGGTTTCTCTGGCTCTTCATATAAGGCTACCAATGCTGCAAATAGAAAATATGCAACAATTGCAAGAAGTATTTAAAACACACATCAACACTCAGAAGGCGTACAAGTTGCATGCCACATTTATACCACATTTTCCATTTAACAAGATTTTCACCTATATACTTTGACAGAAACAATAGTTTTGCTGCACAAGAGAGGAGAGAGCACTCCACCTAGTAACAGCTAAATAGGAGCTTTGTTGATGCCTTGACCCCAGCCTTTAGCTATTCTAGCACAGAACACAAAATGGCCTAGATAATTTTTACATATTCCACATGCAACCTCAGTATTAGATTTCATCAGCAAGACTGAAATTATAACTATTTTGAGACTCTCCATTCATAAACCATTACTTCCACTTAAGCCACATCTTCGAACCACAGGACATAAACACTTCTGTAACTTTGATCATAAAAGCAAACCTCAATCGAACACCTACAGTTACAAAACTAAACACCTACTGTCAGAGCAGGCGACACTTGTAATCTTTAGGAATCTTTACAGATGGGGCCACTAACTGCTGTAACAGTCAGACACAAGCATCAATACCATAACAACTTAAATAAAACTAGTCAAACACACTGGAGAACTCAGCTACAGGAATACTCAGAAAGTTCCCAAACATAACCACAAGGATGATGAGCCAGTTTCAGAAGTCCAAACTGCACAGCCAAATTAGCTTTAAGCAAAACACCTAAGTTAAAAACAAAATTAGAATGTCTCACTGCTAGGAAAACTTGTTTTACAATCCCATAGGATAGTATTGCGATAGGAAAATCAAATGGTACTCACATACATGACCAAAAGTCTTAGTACAGCACCTATTCGTTTGACATCCTAGATCTGCTGCTCCCTCTTTAAACAGCATATTTTCAATAAGAAATATTAACTGATTTTTGCCACATACTATCAGAAGATTCTCAAAAAGACTTCAGAAGGATTTCAAGGATGTCAAGTCATACACGTCAAGTTTAGCATCATTTTTTCCATTCTGATACGGATATAACTGTCCCCAAACTTACAGTTTAATTTCTTTCAGAAAAAGCACTAACTCAAGAGAGGATCTTAAAGAATTAGTGTGTCTTTAAGATAACATTTGCTGTTATTTCATACTGAGCATTTATTTTCTCTGTAGAGCTCTGGCAGAATAACGGCCCCAAAGAAAATCAACACAAGCAAGCATAGAAGAAAACACTGGCTAAGCAAGAGTGGTCTCCGACATGCCACGTACGGGGAAAGGAACCGCCTTCCTGTCCACGCGCACCTCTGACACTTGACCTTCCCGCGGTGAACGCGCGAGGCAGGAGCTCTTCGCAGCTCACAGGCCGTTTCCAGAGGCCCCGCGCCTTCCCCCCCAGCTCGGACTCCATTTCCAGGCCACGCCGCACAGAGCTCTCCGGGCGAGCTC